AGTATTATTAAGTGGACAGCCCTTTAGTCAGCTATGTTGCTATTGTAAATTCTTATTTGTTGAGTAAAATGTTTAAATACTGTATGTATCTCATGTACAAAGTTGACATACGTTATATTCATGTACATAAAATTAAAGATATTAGATTATATACTGTTCATTTTCCCAAGCAGCTACCTTGGTGTATTCAATTTCTAATCTGTCCCTAAAACTGCACCTTTCTGTTATTTGGCACCAAAATGAACCCCTTTTTAATAGTTAAAAAGGGATGTGGCATTTCTTGAAAGTTGACATTAGAAACAGTTATTAAAATATGTATTTTGACGTTGACTAGAAGCCAGCTGTGGTGAGAGCTGGGAGAGTTATGATAGACTTTGTGAAAGAATAGGACGGGCCAACACTATAACTCTGTAAGTATTCAACAAATCGTCCTTAACAACCTAAAATGTATCACACTTTAAGCATTTATATTAAGTAAAAAATTGAGATATTCCAAGTATTTTCCATCTGCTTGAATATTAGCAAAATATTTATTTTAATCTCCAGCTGAAGCAACTTAGCAACCACCAGTTAGGACTTCGATTAGTAACAAGAAAACTACAAAAGCTGCTGTTTTATAAAATTAACAGTCTTCTACTTATGATGTTGATTTTTCATGGATTTTTTAAAAAAAAATAATTTAGGTGTAAGAAACAATTTAGGCAAATAATGACGGAACCTATCAGAGACTATAAAAAGAGCAATTTTAGGTAGTTTCATTCTCCATAGTTTATATACATAAATCACGAAGTGTCGTGAGAACATTGGACCAGCATTCAGAAAAGTCTGGAATTTATAATCAGTTAAAACAGTATGACTTTAAGAAAATCTGTTACCTCTTATTTTCTCTCTTTCCCATCTGTAAAACTAGGTGGCAATAGATTTGGATAAGATGACATTGTTAGATACCTTCTTTTATAAGAGACTATCCTTTGTAAAATTCTATGACTCTAAATTACAAAGTACTGTGACTACAAGTGGGGACAGCTGTAATCCCCTAGCCTATACACTGTCCCCTGCATGCTGGTACCATCTTCCATATGCTGAGTGTTCCGCAGTAGCATTCCTATGGAGTGCAGAATCGCGACAGCGAAGGTAGTATCAGTGGTGGTCCTTATGAAATGTGCTCTGTTGCCTTATTCCCCTTAAATATTCCCCGTAAAAGCATACATACCATCCAGCTCCTCCATGTTAAGATATCTAAACAAAATTGACTCCATCTGTACAAAACAGTAATGACACCTGAAAGAATTTTCTAAAAGATAAATAATAGGTACCCAGTGGTCACGTAAGTAACCGATTTAGAAAGAGACTGAGATTGACAACATCCCAGAGATGTTCTGTTCTAAGTTATGAATGTGGTGCCTTTGAAGGGGAATCAGCTTTCTCATAGTGTTAATACTTGCATATATGTTATTACAGAACAATGTGCTAAATGGGACTATGGTGAATCCAAGAGTTATTGCAGCTTTGGAAGGTGATAGACTTGACTCTCAGATATTACCTAATGCCTGGGATCCAGCCAGGTCAATTTAACCGAGCTTTTACTTTTTAGCCAACTATGATGGTGGTTTCTACATAGTCTGGATAAATCCAAGAAGTCTTTCATGGCCCCAGTGAAATTTGCCTTTTTAAAATTATAGAAAAAATGAAATATACATTGTAAAACTTTTATCACTCATAAAGAAAAGAGAAAAGCTGTTAAAAAGAAAGCTCTCTCATTTACTAATGTGTTTAGATTTTAGGAGCATTCACTTAAACTGGGGACAAAAAAAAAAGAAAACCTTGTTCTTAACCAACGAAAGATCTAGAAAGGAGCTATTATAGTATGAAAGTGCCACCTCGTGTACATTAAGCTCCAGGATAGCTGCATCGAGAGTGGGGCCTTTAAAGTCCCAAGTATGGGCATATATCACTGGGGAGGGAAGGCTCTTTGAGGACATTTAGTTTACTATCTTTATTTTTCAGGTACAAAAAGGAAATTAAAGACCAGAGAAATAAGAATAAAAATATTCTCATAGTTGAAACAGCTAAATAATGGCATTGCCCAGCCACCAAAATCCTGACCAGAACATAAATCACCAATTCTTGATTTAGAAGGTCACTTGTGGATTATTTTTCAAAAAGAAGTAAACTTTTTGTGTTACTTAATATTTCAAAGTAACTTATTCTTCAAGAACATATCCAATTTTCCTAAGAACGTGTGTTACCCGTAACTGACCACTTCAAACTTTTAAGAAAATCTTTTTCATCTGCCATGATGGTTATGGAAGTATCTATTTATTTAGTTATTTATTTCTTCAGGGTGGCTGTACCGTTTTAAATTCCTTTTTTTTTTAAATTTCAGAATATTACGGGGATACAGATGTTTTGGTTATGGTCATTTTGTTATTTTTAGAGGCACAAAGTATTTCTGACCTAGGTTTGCATGCATACAGAAACTTGAGGCTGTACAATTATTAGTCAATTGCTTTAATGATTTAAGCCTTTGTTTTTTAAATCTAAAACTATTCAGAATCTATAAAAAATTATAGCAGATTATTTTCTTGGTTAAATTACTTCATAATCAATGCCTAGATTGATTTTTTAAACATGTATTGAAGGATTAGTGCTGAAAGCATTTATTTTCATTGCTCATAACGTGAAAAATTACAATTGTGGTATCCCAAAGAGCCAAATGAAGAAACTTCAATTTTTAAAAAATTACGTAGGTGAACTTCAGAGTTTGGAAAAGGTTAATGATTCTTAATGGTTTGATTCTCAGTGAAACTGTATGCCCGCATACACACACATACACGCGCACAGTTTTGCATACAATTCAAGGGTTCGGTGGACCCTAGCCCAGTCCAGCATCCCTTCCAATACATTATCAATCCCTCCTGGAGATCATCTAGTTCTACTATCTCATTTTACAGATGAGAAATTGAGGTTCAATTAAGATTTGATCCCAGATTCCTTTACTCCCAGTTTAACATTCACCTAGGACTTCATTTTGAGTACTTCTTCAGTCTAGAAAGCATGCAACAATTCACCCAGAGTCTACTTTTGTGTCTCTGTTCACTGGTTGGCTGCGGAGCAAAACAAAAACTAGCATCTTACTTGAAGAACAAAGGCAGTTGGAGCATCCCCAGCCACTTGCTTCCCCACTATGATGTGACAAAGAGGAAGTTGGCTGGGAACTTGCCTTTTGGTTCACTTCCCCAGACCAAGCAGAGTGATCACTGCCAGATCTCAGCTGTCCTGCGTTTGTAAATGCCCAGTGGACCTGGGGGGCATCGAGGCACACTCACCATTGTGTTTCTACAGAGGGTTTTGGACAGGAAAATACATAGCAGCTTGGATTTGGACCTTTATTGTTTAGAAAGTCGGAAGTGGGCAAAAGGAGAGCAGGGAAAGGGGGTGGAGTGTGGAGAGAAGTGTAGTTTCATCTAATTTCTTTCTCTGAGAGGTCAAGAGAAGTGAGAGATCTAATACAGCCAAGTTTCATGAAGGTTTTGGATTCTGTCCTACACACAACCTTACACTGACACACTTGACCTTGGTCACCTTTCTCCCTATTAAAATCATATCCCACTGACAGACATTTCCATTTCCAGGAGTGGTTGATCATGCACCTGGGTAAGATTTCCTTCCTGTCTCTTTGCATTCCTCCTTCCCAACCTCTGTGAAACAAACTTAGTAATCAAAGTTTAGAAGTAAAATCATTTAGAGCGGCTGCTCAGATCACTCTTATACCTCTTTTGAAGATGTTTTCGAATATTCTTTCAAAGTGCAAAGGTAATAAAAGGCTGTTGATCTCCATCACAGAAAAATAATTGGTTCAGGATTGAAGAGTTCAAGGTCTTAGGCACAGTTCCGTGTCATACTGCCATTATATAGATCCTCACAGAGACAGGGCGGGGTCAACTATCCCAGTGCAGAGGGGAGGGGGCAGTGCAGGGAAGGACACTGAGTCCTAGTAAAAGACCATTAAAAAAGAGAAATAAGAGTGAAGTCCCAGAATGTAACTCATCATCCCTTTATGCTACAGGGAAGAACATTCAGGAAAGTGTAAGGTTTTCCTGAAACTTGTTAGGAATGTAGTCTGGAGACTCTGAGCCAGGGCCACATCAGCCATGCTTGAAGGATGTAGCCATGCTTGAAGACTCTTCAAAATTGGTAATAATTTTTTGAACTGAAACAAAGGTATAAAACAGAGGTCAGAGAAGATCCGTTCTGGTTATGGGTGGTGAGATCCAGACAGTACAGTCTATGAGAAAATAACCTTACAACTAAGAGATGTGATAAATGTGTTGTTTTGTTTTTGAGTCCAGTATTATCTGAAACCGCTAAATTTTAAGGGGCAGTTTAAAACTGTTGCCCCTCTCTCCCTTCTTTGACTACCTGCCAACATTAATATCCAACCAAATTTCCATGATTTGGAAATAAGCCAAGATCTACTTCTCATTTGTAATTGCCTTTTGGTATAATCCTTCCAAACTGTAAAGAGGGTAGAACAGAATCGCATAAACAATTGTTTTAAGGTATACTTGACAAAAACCCAAAATGCACAAATTTAATTATAACTGACAGAATTTTTCTTCTGAGAAAAATTGTTTATAATAAACAGAAGCAAGTACATTAATCCATAACAGGCACAGAAGTTTAACTGTTCTGTTTCATCCCTTCCTATAAAATGAACTCTGGCCTATGAGACAGGATTAATATATTAGTCACCTTCACCAGGCTGGCTGGAAAGTTTCCACAGTGCCTGACCAACAAGCGGTTGTTAGAAGCATCAGGCTACCCTGGAGAACCACAGGCGAGTGTCTCACAGGCCTCTGCATTTGTCTGACCCAGTCCATGCTCCTCTGCAGGTCCATATGGCTGAAGTAACTAGATTGTGGCTTAACAATTCCACAGCTACAACAATAGGCATTGGTTGCTTTCTGAGCAATTTGGTGAGAGCAACTGGTATAGGCACAAATGTGGCTCGTTTCCGGTGGCTGAGTGTCCGTGTATCACAGCAGCTACAGGGAGCCTTAGCAATATTTGATGTTTCTTGCTTTCTCTGGATATAGTAAGAACTTTAAATGAGAGAGACAAACAAGCATATACACATTTTTTAAATAACCCAATAAAATTCAACCAGTTTTATTATGGTAAAATGTCACTTTAAAAACATGTTTTTAAAGAAAGAAACTTTTGGTTGACAATTTTAAAATGGTAGCATTGGATATCTCCTTCCTGGGGAGTGGAGCTGTCATTCGTCCTCAAATGCAGAAGCCAAGCCATAAATTACAGACTGACTGCTGAATGTTGCTCCTTCCATCATGCACATTGCACAGGTTCTCCTGGGCTGTGCCTGGGTGATCTTCAGGTATGGAAAAAGATGACAGAGATACGAAAGCAGGGTAAGAATCACAACATTTGCATTTAAATTGCATTTTGTGCAAGTTCCATTGACGAATGGCAGAGAGCTGTACTTCCAATACAGCTGTGTGCTGAGCAAAGCTGACTGCTCTAAATACTGAACGCCAGTTCCTTTGCCAGTTCCATGGGCAAGCATTCCAGGAGGCCTGAGTTAAAATGTGCAGATAAATACTCAGTTCTGGAGTTTTTGTTGCTAAAGCATACAGAATACTTATGTTCTGCTATGGAAATCTTGGAAGAACAGAACTTCTGTTTTTAATATCTCTGAGGATTTAAAACAGTTCTTAGACTACTTATTACCTTTCATGAAACCCACTCCTACTTTAAAAGTCTCTTGGTGGCTTACCTATATTAAAAAGAGGAAAAGAATCCTTTTTATTCCACTTTTTCTTCTTTACTGAAGTTAAGCAAGCTAATAAGAGAAAGACAGCAGTGGGAAGAGTGCAGAAATGGGACTTTGAGCATTTTTTTTTAACCTTCTGTGGACTTGCGCTTTCTCAGTTGTAAAATGAGAAGGGTGATGATCTCTGAGATTCCTTTTGGGAAAAGCAGGGAAACCAACAACCTTTAAGCACATGCTGAGTGCCAGGCATTTGACATACAAGTAGTCAATCCTCATAACAACCATGAGATGAAGACATCGTTGTATTCTCATTGAACGGACAAGGAATCCAAAGAACAAAGAAATTATGTAATGTGCTCAAAAAGTTAGTACAAAGTGGAGCTGGAATTTCAACTCAGTTCCATCTGACTTCAAATGTATGCATCTCTCTATGTCCACCTGCATGATTGTGAACTCGAGTGCTAATTAGTGGACTAGAATTTCACCAGAATAGAATACATGATGAGTACATTCATAAAATGGGGGTAAAGTAAAGTATATTCAGTCTTGGCCTGGGTATTTATAAACGAATTGTCTTTGACATGGATAAATACGGAGTGCTAGAGACAGAAGACAAATATTAGTCATTGACAATGTGTTGCTAAGTTCCTCCTATTGTGTAGAACATTCCCATTTTAAGGGTGTTGTATTCTACCACAGCAACCTTGCTCAGTATTTGTTTATAAGTCTTACTATATAGAATTTGCTGTAATACTTACATATGATATAATGTGTCTGTAAT